AATATTTTTCTAACCTTTATTTTTGTAATCTGACACTTGTGATCCTTCTCATCCAAATGTCATTTTGGGGAGGTTGGGATTTTAAATAAATATAAAAATAATATGGCAGACACCACATTATGAAAAAATATGGCATGATATAGCCCTGGTGTTGGACTGCTTGGATGAGTATCTATTTTTTAACACTAGCCATGTGAGTGTGGAAAAACTACTTAACCATATCTTTGCCTGAGTTTCCTCCTCTTTCAAAATGGAGCTACTCACTTTATAGAATTGTTACGTAGATTGAAACAAATTGTTTTAAGTTCTTAGAATATAGCCTGGCACAAGGTCAGTACTTAATACTGAATATTATGATTAGTGTTATTGTTGTCATTATAACATTTTGATGTAATTGCTTTAGATTTAAAAAAAATTACAGATACAATTGAATCTCATAGCTCTTCCTGATTGCCTTTTTTTAAAAACAATTTTCCAAACTACTTTTTTTCTTACCTTGTCTACTAATCTTTTCACTCTATTAAATCAGTTTTTCTTTTAAGTATCTCAGGAAATTTGTTCATGTTCTTTTACCTGAACTTACAAAAATATCCCTTTCCAAGTATACCTTCAGCATTCTCCTTGCCTGTTACAAACTATGGTAACATCTTGTTAGATTTTTTTTTTTCTCTTCTCACTTTATTACCCTATTCTTTCTAATTGGTCAGAATTAGGTTTGAAGTATTAGTTCTTCTTATCAGTGAAACGTGACATTTCTGGCATGAAAAAGCAACTTTCACCAGACGGAGGCAATGTTTTTCTCCTTAGTATTCCTTTGGCACTTTTTCTGAATTTGTTATTTTTCTCTTATGGTATTTATCATTTCTAGTTTTTCTAGTTAGTTACTTGGCCACGTGGTTTTTTCCACTACAGTCTCAGGTTCCTGAAGGCAGATACCCTGTTTCCTTCATTTTTGCATTTTTCATAGCATCTAGAATAGTGTCATAAAATAGCATGGTCACAAGAAATGTGTTAAATACATATATATCTATGATGAACAGTGATAATGTGTATTTTAAAGAACTAGAAATTACGATTATTGTCTTCTTTATTTTAGGTTTTTACAAGTGCTTCCTGCTTGTACCGAAGATGAGAAACTGTTGATAGATATCATACATTTTTTAAATAAGTTAATGAAGGAACAAAGAAAAAATCCATCAGTAGAACTTCTAAACTGGATTTTAGAAATACTTCTTAGACATGTGAGTGTTATTAAGGAATTTGGATTTTAGGTTTGATAAGTAATTTATTTGTGGAAATGATTAATATTATATTATGAAAAAGGATAATTTTTATATAGCCTATGCTCAGTAAAGCAGTACTCAAGTTATATGAACAGCTCATAGCAACATGGCCTTCTTGTTAGGATTGTTACTGTGTTTACTAAATTAAAATTCTGTAAACTGAATGAGACCTTTAGCCTTGGTGTTTAACAAAACCTGTATGTGAGCTTTTTGCTGCAACTGTATTTTAAGTGGGGATTTCAGTGTGTG